TTATATATCTTCTGATCTGATGGTCGTCAACTAACTTAGGGTTGCGCTCGCTTTTGCAATAGCTTTGCATCTAAAGTTCCGATTTTTCTAGTGTTATATACAATGCCATGGTTAAACGATAGCTTGATGCTCATCAGTGTTATTACTTACGTGATGAACAACAGTTTCCGGCTCACGCACTGTCCTGTCAAGTTATATTCGATTTATAACGCCTTCATCCTCTGATCTGAATAAACGTAGCCTAAACGTCTACACCTCAGTGTTGGCCGACCCATTCACAAATACACACCCACTGCTTACACAATGAATCCCCGTACCACGTATATCTTCTAGTCATCGCACTCGTACCATGCTGTGCTGGATGGGCTCATCAATCTCCGGAAGACAACGTCAACGTCCGACAAACACCGCGACAGTGACCAAGTGGATGGCGAGAGGCGCTTCAATCGCATCGTCTTGTTTGACATGCTCGGGTATGGCCTCAGTGACAAGCCCGACGCATACTCATACTCGTTGCTTGAACAGGCAGACACGGCGCTGTGTGTGTGGAAGCACTTTGGCGTGACCGGTGGACACCTACTAAGCCACGACATGGGCGATAGTGTGGCAACCGAGCTCGTTGCCAGGCATCAGAATGAGACTATGCCGGGTTGGTTCAGTGACGGTCTACAGTCCCTAACCTTTACGAATGGGAGCATGGTGATGGAGCTGTGTGCGCTGAGGACTGTGCAGCACCTGCTGCTGAGTGGGTATGGTTACTATCTGCAGTATCTAACGGTAAGGAGTGTGATGGCACACCAGATACGCTCTGCACATGGCAACGCGACTCTAAGTCAGGAGGAGATCGATGTGATGTGGGAGGCCAATTTGCTGCAAGAGGGGAACATGAAGACCTACCTGACGATCAAATACATCAACGATCGCAAGCAGTTCGAAACCACGCGCTGGTTGCCCGCTCTGGCGCAGACCAAGCTACCCGTGCATCTGTGTTGGGGAGATAGCGATAGCGTGGCACGGGTGGAAATGGTACACCATCTCAAGCAGAAGGTGTGCAAGGAGGCGACGGTCACCATCATGAACGGCGTAGGCCACTTCTGCCAATTGGGAAGCCCGGAGAAATGGCTGGAGGCTGTGGGCGCGTACTACACGACGTTGGGTTGATTGTCAGGCGCTGCTAACAACTTGTTTGCACTTTTCAGCACAATCACACCCCAGTATGGTACCGATGCCTAGACATAACCCGTATTTGCCAATTTGGATTTGCATGGTCTCAGTGATTTGTGGACATTTGATACTCAGCTATGTGCTTTGTTGGTAAAATTGAGACGTTGGTGCAGCGGACGAAGTAGTGGAGGCTTAGTGAGGTTGTGTGCTCGCAGGCTGCATCGTACTCAATTGAAGCCCACAGTTTGGGAAATCTTATCCACCGTTATTCACCGAGAACGGCATAGTAGGGCGGAAGGTCTTTGGGCAAAGCTGCATTTAGTAGCTGAGATTAATCTGTTAGCGCATTCGCTAGTGGCGTAGTTAGGTGTTGTAGTGTATATATGTAAGTTATTGGTGGCGGACAGCTGAGGTCTATATCCTTGCTGGATATATCTGAGGTGCAGCCCAGAATGACAACAGATTAATTGTAGAGACCGAGAGCCATCGTGTGTACAATTAGTTGTGGGAATTGACTTGGAGTTCTGAATGTACCCACAATATAGCTCGGTATGACGAGTGATGGTCTGACCCCAAAAGCAAGGGATTGCTTACGAATTACCTGTGGTTTATCTCTCTCGAGTAAAGACATGCATGAATGCACATAGGGGAGTGGCATCTTCGCAGCAAGGAATTGCAGTTGTATGGTGTGCGATTTAGATGCGTGGAAGTGATGTGGTGCTCTTTTGTTCTTGAAAGTTTCTAATTTTCGTTTACAATTACTGATTAAGTTGTTCTTGGAAGCGTTTATTTTTCGTTTACAATTACTGATGGGGGACAGGGCAGCACACCTCTCGCTCCAGTGATCGACAATATCAATGGCTTTCTCCAATATAGAGTGGCGCTCTACATTTTGTATTCGTTTCTGTCTGTCAGAATAGCTTTGATCACACACGCAGCAACAGATGAATCACGTGACACTGCTAGAATTGAATGGACACCAGGTAGCTAGGCAACGAAACTCACACGAATGTACATAGGAGAAGAACCCTTTTTCCGAGAAAGATCTTTTGAGAAATTCAGTGCCTATTGTGCAAAAGTAATACATGCAACCCGTTGTGTGCAGCGGGTGCTCTCAAACTCCAATTGATTCCCGGCTATATGGGATATATTGATGGTAGCGATGTGTAGCATATGTGACATGCGTCACTACTGCTTCGTACTAATTAAATATAGTCTGCCCAGTCAGACTTGGAATATGGCACGGCTTGCTTTGCTCGCACCACTACAATGCAAATCACACTACTACAGCAACACAACGACCCGCGTAATGTATGGTTTACTACCGATGCACGGTCGTTGAGTTGTCGAGAAGGTTTTTGTATTGGATCCTTATAGTACGTGCCCTTCAATAGTTCAACCATAGACTTGAACGAACCCTGTCAAACACACAACATCTCTATCATGTACGTATATCGGTGCCTATTTATATATAGCTGCTCTTAGGCTTACTTACGCTTCTCTCAGCATTCACTGGTGTCTCCATGCATGTTCACGAAGTTCACGAAGTAACCCTATCGTATCATCAACAAAATTAGCATAATAGATAACTGCCTCCACAGTTAGCGGCGTCTGCCACGGCTCTTTTTCACGCCTAGTCGAGCGGTTGTTCGAGCACTTCCATCCGCTCTATGGGCTCGTTCGTGCATGGCACGACACTCCCGGCTGTCGAATAGCTCCCCACAAGAAAGACACGGACACTGTGCCTGTTTCTGTGCATTTGCATGCCTCATCACATGCTGGCGGTATGCATTCTCATCCACGAATGACTTGTCACAGTCCTTCCACTGGCACACAAACTGGACGCACGCGCGGTCTCTGTGTCTCTTCCGGAGACTGTGCGCGTTTGTTATCTCCTCATCACTCCCCCGCGACAACCGTTCTGTGCGTGCCTTGGGCTCGTCAGTTCGCTTTCTCTTACGGAACGCCTTCGCGTAATACTGACTACCCAACACATGTCGCTGTGTTTTGGCTGTTGCGGCATGGTTTATAACTTTCTTTCTGCTCACACGGACCTCAGGATCGGTTCTATGTATCTTGATTCGTTGAAGTGGAATTGGCTCGGGCGCCGGTGCAATAAAACCATCAGCTTCGGCAGCACGCGAGTGTGCACACATGCCAAGCCCTCCTCTATCTGAATCCCTGGCAGCGCTTTCTTCACCTTCCGATCCGTGGTCCTGGCTTTCATCTTCCGACGACACAGTACAATTCTTTGGTTGTTCTGGGCCAACGTCCTTGACATCTTGTGCACGCAATGGCATCTCTCTGGAAGGCCTCCTGGTTGTTGTGCTACATCGTTGTACCTGTACATCCGTGTCGGATTCTCCGCCGATCGATTCATCTGCGGAACAGGGCACATCGCTGTCCGACGAGTAGCCCTGGTCTTCATTTGCCGAGCGCAGTCTTGGGCTCCTGAAATCCTTTTCCGCAATCGTGATTGGCTGTTGAATGTTTTTCATGACCTCTGTTTGTGCCTGGGCATCGGGTCTGCCTTGGCCTCGTTCAGACTCAGTTGAGGGCTGTTTCGTGTTTGCTTCTTCTGCCTCTACTTTTGTCACCCGTGCACCGCCTCGCGGCGCCCCAAAATTTTCTTCACTTTCACTCGGACGCGCAATATGGGTCTGTGTATCTTCCCCTATCTGTCCTTTTAGATCAGTGTTCGTCTGGTAATAAACACCGCCTCTCCTATCTGCAGATGTAATCATTCTCTTCAGCGGCGGATTGGTTAGCGCCTCCCATCTCGCGGCCCGTTTGAGGTGAACTCGACGTTCTCTCTCGCTTCTGTTCCCGCGTGTCTCGGTGGTACGTGAAGGTGTGCTGTCTCGTTCTGTGTGTGTGTTGGTTATACCTGCGGGGCTGTTTGTGGTATCGCTGCGTGTGTCCGGAGCTCTCTGTGTGTGTGTATGCCCTTCTCCGCACGGCAGTGTCACTCCATTCGGCGAGATATGTATACATACTGACGGATCCGCTTGTAACTTGTTCTCCATTGGAAGGACTTGGCCTCTTGCCAAGGGCGAACCGGGGTCAGGGGGGACCCTGATCAGATTATCCCTGACTGGTCGGAGTATTCTCGCTGTGATAGGTGTGCCGGATGGCTGCGATTTATCAGATGTGTTCTTTTGATTGGTGGTGATGGGTAGCATGAGTAGCTCGCCTGCAGTCGTAGAGCACGGACCGTCTATCAGCAAATCAGTGGCACGTTCGCCGGCCAATGTGTCTATCCTTGATAGTTTCGACGACGTGGTGGTACATGAGGTATCAACCTCAGCTGATAGGTCGAGTGTGCCGCCTGATGTTTGTTTGTCAGCTCTTTGCGACGTATACTGTTTGCTGTGTGCCTTCGTGGTAGCGGGCATGCTTGATATGCAAGTAGTTTCGTCTGGGGTGGACAATATAGTCGTATCCCGCACAATCATTGCTATAGTCAACACATGTGAGCCTAAGGCCGTGTTCGGGCCCTCTGTGTTGGTGGCATCAGGTGATATAGTTGAGCTACTGGTCTTGCCTGAAGCACATGTGGTATCCGTGCCACCGTCTTTGGTGTATTGATGTGTTCTGTGTGTTAGCGTGAGGGGTTCGCTTTTGTTTGCTGTCGTGATGGAGGGTATGCCGAGCGCCCCAGTTGATGTGTCCGTGCTGACTATCTTAGCAGAAGTAGGTATGCCCGATACATCTCGCGCGGTAGCTGTAGTGTGTGCATCTGTCAATATATCTATTCGAGGTGTATCAAGACAAGGATTTGTGCCTAGAGTAGTGCGGTTGCGAGCCTTTCGCGTATCTAGGGTGCTGGATGTCTTTGTAGGTGTGATCGTGGGTGTTGTCAAACTACCACCTGTATCCGCACCGGCACTTAGTCCCTTATATACACCAACAACCGCCAACGGGTCTAGCAGTTCGTCACTGATCACCATATCATGAGCCATAAGCAGTTCATCAGGTAACGTTACCTTATGTCCCTGCAACAACTCTGCAACTCTCGCTCCAACATTCAGCGCTGGTGTTCTCGTATCGCCTTCCGGTGGCTTGGGTTGTGTATCGCCACATGAGCCGTCGATGCAAGGCGTGCTGCTCGTACAGGCGGAGGCCAGTCTCTCAGTCTCTGCCAACACACCACCTCTCACCTTCCCTTGATCCGTGCAAGACTCGCTCTCCTCCATTCTGCTGTTATCAGAGCTATCACTCACGCTTGTGTTCGTTGTGAGCACAGGACTGATCCCCCGCTGCGTCCCCAAAGTATCCACAGTGCCCTCCGTTGCGTCAGCGGTATGAACGTGGGCCGTGCACTCCTGCATGCTTCTCGTGCTCTTGCTTGGATTGTTGTGCGGATCTAGTTGATCTGTAGAAGTCCCACTCGTCGCATCGATCGCATGCGTACCACGCCTCTCACCTCTGTGCATTGTCTCGTGCTGTGATTCCAGCAAACGTTGATCATTGGCCCTTTCCCGGGATTCCGCGTTCTCCTTCGGTGTATGCGTTCTACTGTCCACAATATTTACACTCGACTGATTAGTGTTTATAAGCCCCGATGTATGTTCGCCTCTATCGTCGTTGGTACTTTCGACACTCATTCGGCTGGCGACGCTATCACCATTCTCCACATCCAGCGTTCTGTGTTGGGCCTCATCCATGTTCTCGAGTGTGCTTCTCTCAATCTTTGCACACGTCTCAGCTACGCCTGTGGAATGATTGCTGTCCCTCTCCTTCTCTGTGGACCGTTCACCTTCTGGTTTCTCATTACAGGCAGTTGCCAACACCGAGGACTCGCAATCACCGCTCTGAGCATCCTTCGGCCTCTCGCTGCTATGTACCTTTGAGTGTCTGTCTTCAAATGCTTGCACAGTGCACACCCCATGCTTGGTGTCGATGCCTTCGCAACTGATGCTTGCTGCTCGTATATCACTCTCTTCTGTGTCATCTGTAGTGCTCTCGCCAGTTATACTGTCCTTCCCTTGCTCGCCCTCAGCCTTGTCATCATGCACACACTCTCTGGCGTCTGCTGCCGTGTCTATAGTATCAGCTACTTGCACACTAAAAGCTCTTTCCATGGTTTCAGTTCCGTTACCACCGGTACTCGTGGGCTGTGTAGCATCTTCTGCTGAGCCATCCGCGAGCATATTCCCAGCTGTCCTTCCTTCCGTTCCTTCACTTCCCATAACATCGCCACCAGATTGCTCGCGAGTCTGGGCTGTTGTGTGGTTAGCGTGTATCGCTGTTTCGTTTGTCGTTTGTATTGATGGAACAGCTCTCTGAACATCAACATCAACACCGCCACTGACAGCGCTTGTAACTCGTGCAGGACTAACTACAGCCCCACCTGTGTCCGTCTGATCTTTGCCCCTTGGCTCATCTGTCAGTGAAGACCCATTCCCGTCCTCTGCGCCTTGACAGTCCATCAGGTCGCTGTCGTGTGGCTTGTTATCGGCTCGTAGTTCCTCAGTTGATTTATCACAAACATCATCCCCGCAATCTTCCGCAGGAGTGTCCGCAGAATTGTCCGCAGGAGTGTGTATGGGAGCGTCTCGAAAGGTGTGATAGAGCATCAAACTCTGCTGTAAATGTAAACGCGCAAGTGGACTTGCTGCCAGCGTGTACTTTGGTGTGGGGGCAGTGGCAAATGCTGAGAGCACATGTGCCACCACAGGCAAATCCTCAGGCGAAGCACCAGCGCTATCGGATACACGGCCAGTGTCTATATCGTTGTGGAGGTGTGATCCTCCATCGACTTCCTGGGCTGTGCTTGGTGTTACACCGTCAACTCGTTGACTGCCATCTGTTAAAACTCCCTCCCCATTCTGTGCTGCATCACGTGACTCCTTTGCACTCGTTGGGCTAGCTACTGAAACGCCCTGCAACTCCCGAGACCTGTCTGGCGTTGCCGTTCTGCAGTCGTCGTGCCCACTTGTTGGTGCATCTCCGGTTTCCTTACGTATTACTACTGACACGATCCCCTGAGTGCTATCTGGTGAACTTCCGTCTAATACCCGCGGCACCTCCTGTGATACTTCCGCTTGACCCTCAGTTGATTCGAATGAGACTCTGTCTGCCCACTCGAAATGTTCTTGTACCGGAACATCGACCATCGGAGGCGCTTCCGGAGTGCAAGAGCTATTTGTCTGAGCTCGTTTGACTGCGACATCAACGGTCTGCCTAGCTGTGCTGAGTGGTACTCCGTCCAAAGTGTGAGCGGTATTCGATACCACGTGCTCAGATCTCATGGATGTGGCATTGGGCGGTCGGTCTATTCCCCGTGGGCTCAACTGCGAGAGGTTGTCTGTGCCCTGAGAGGTTAGTGTCTCCATGTGTGTAGTAGGTATGTCTGGTGTCACTCTGCCCACCCCTCGGGTTGTCGAATGAGCTGATCCATCCCCATCCTGAGTTATGTCGAGTGACGCCCTGGACGGTTCCCGTTGGTTGTCTGGTGATTGGCTGTTAAATTCCTGAGGTGTGACGGGCAACGCTCCATCCGCCTTTTTACTTTGGGGTAATGGTTCCCCAATCGCTGCGTGGGGGGTAGCTGATGAAACGTCTTCTCTGTGAGGTGCGTCGGGTGTCACTTCCTTATCTCTCTGAGGTGGTTTGTGCAACACTCTGTCCGCGTCTTGCGACTTCTCAGGCGACGCTTCTGCTACGTCCTTCGGGGTGTGTGGCGATGGTGTCATCGTATCTCTATGTGTGTCTGCTGAAACATAATCCAAGTCCATGGGAGTGTCTGCTGAAATATCAGCCACTATCTGAGGGGTCTCATGTAGCACGCACACTTCCTGAGTTGTACGCGTGGGCCGTCTTTCATTTTCCATGCATACCGTTTGCAACCCTTTGTGTGTACCCTGAGAGTTGTCAGGTGGTGTGCTCGGTGACCTATGGGGCGTGTCTGCCAGTTTGTCTACTATTCGGGGTATATTTGGCAGTGCATCGCTCACCGTCTTAGATGAGACGCGATTTAAGGCCACCCCCTCGACGGACAATTCCAGTCCACCACCGGCCACAATCGGTGGAGTGTCATGGCATGTGTCGTCTCGTTGTGACGTGTCTGATGACAACCTCTTCGCTACCTGTTGCAATCGTAGAGCACTAGCTTCTTCTTCCTCAACTTGATACGTATCTGGTGATGCTTCTATCAGTTCTGGTGGTGTGTATGTTGATAGCCTTATCCTCTGGGCCGTTGCCTGGGACTCTCCGTCAATGATATGAGGAGTGGTAGTAGAGAGCACTTCATCCACCTGCAGAGTTGTGTCCTCCACCTTTCTCATGACTGTATGAGTGACTGTTTGAGAAACTGTAAGTGCGTGTGACAGTACTCCCTCCATTGTCTGCGGTATATCGCACGAGACACTTTCTATTGTCGGCGACGTAGTGGGGAATGCAGCTAGTACTTGCCACGACGACTGTGTTGTTGGTGCGTTTGAATTGTGAGATGACTCTACTGACCCATCTTCGGCCTCATTATTTGCAGCTGACAAGTCCGCTGTCAACTCTTTCATACTTTGTGCACTATCGTAAGTGACACTCTCGGTAGATTGGCACTTGTCCCTGGGTACTGGCGACACTTCCGGAAGCGTATCTAGTAACTGTCCGTCTGATCTCTGTGGCATCTCCATTGAACTGAACCCGGCCTTCTTAGGTTGGGCCATTTCCTGACAGGTCTCGGTCGGGATGATGGGCGAACGTTTGGGGTCACGTGAGTCTGCATCTATTTTGTGCGGTGTCTCGAGTGGCAGTTGTCTATAGTTCAGCTGTGAAGGGGATAATACCCCATCTACGCCCTCTGTTACGTTCCGAGACATTTCTAGAGTTGTCTGGCAGGTACCAGATGTGATGCCTTGTTGAAGGGTATCACACATCCCTCCTTGTGTGTTCGATGTTTTGATAGACTCTCCCTCGCGCTCTTCTGGCTTGTGTCTTGGCTTTCTGGCCTCTATCTGAGAGTTGTCAGGTGGGTGTTTGAACTGCCGCTGAGTATCATCAGTAAACTCGTCTGCCATACTGTTCGTGTCCAATGACAGTATCTCTACCGCTCCAAGTGCTCCCGATGAACTTCCGACCACTTGCTGAGAGCTGTCCAGTGACATGTCGAGCTGCTGAAGGGTATCAGACGATACTGTGTTTCCTTTGAATGTGCTGGACGGCACTTCTCCCACGTACTCAGGCACGTTCTGTAGCCCTGTGCTCACGTTCTGACGCGTATCTGGTGAGATAATGGGTTGCCGAGGGACCCTGACTGACACATAAGGTGTATGGGGTGTGACCAATGATCCCCCACTCGCGTCCTGAGATGTATGGAGGGACACTTCGGTAGTTCCCGGGAAGGTGAGTGGGGTATTGATGCATTCCATAAGAGTATCGAGTGAGATGGGTTGTTGGGTGGTGGTTGTCTTTGATAACAATCCTACCTGTCTAGGCTGAGGGTTCTTGTGTATAATGCCGTGGTCATGGGCTACAGTTCCTGGCACTTTCTCTACAGCCCAAAATAATGTGTCCGCTGACACATCAACCACTTGTCGAGGGTTGGCAGATGTGTCATTAACCTTTGACTGATTACTTGGGGATACCTGGTGCAGAGGTAAATCAGCTGACCGTATAGCAGGCACTTGACGCGTCTCTGCGGATTCTCCGGTAAGTTCTGTATGTGTGTCAGGTGTAATGCGCTCTGAGGGAAGAGGTGAGACTTTCTCATCACTGGAGATTTCAGTAGCCACTCCGTCTTCTATCACCCCGAACCCATCGTGGGTGCTGCCAGGTGTATCATAGTACTGTTGAGGAGCGTTCACAGCCTGGGCTGCGTATGGGGATGCTGTGACCTGGTCTTGAAAACTGTCCGGTGTGTCATAAGGGCTCTTACGGTATACCCCCTGGCCGTGGGATGTATCAGGTGGCCCTTCATCCGAGTCTGAAGCTATGTCTGGTGACAGCCTAGCTATATCTGGAGTTGTATTAACGAAACCCATCTCCGCATCATCCCCTGTATCGCCAGTAGTAGTCTTCCGTGGCGTTGTGCGATCTTTCTCGAAATTTAGCTGCCCCTGTAGTTGTGTGTAGTTTGCAACATCGCCCTTGTCACCTCTGCTAACCACGCAGCGTGTCGCGTCTTCGTCGATCTCTGTACCTGTGCGGGTGCTATCCAGGTCTACCATAATATCTCTTGCCATTGCGGAGAGGATGTTCGTACGCATTGGTGTACTTAGATCTTGCGGACGTGAGGATACAAACTCATCTAGCTCCCAATCCGGAGTCAGACGTACTATTCGTATAACCTCATCGTGCACATCTGTGGTGGTATTCGATCCTGCGGTCTCACCCGCATGTGAGCTCTTAGACTCTTCCGGGGTTCCCACTGGACGTTTGACCGGGGTTGTGGGCAGCCACACATCATTCTTCTGTAGCCCGGACTTTCTCCACCCCGATATACTGCTTTGACCCGGATTCTCTCCGACACGGCTGCTCGTGTGGGATGTGCCACATGTAGACCGTGTATCATTCAGGTGTGCTTGTGTGCCACCCGCGGGAATTACAAGACCATCCCAATCCATGTGAGGTGAAGCGGCATCTGTGGCATTCTCAAGTGTCATACTATCTACACTGGTTACAGCATACGTGGGGAATGGTCGGTCATCGAGGTCCTGACATTCATTGCCCGTAGGCTCCTCTTTAACTTCATCACCCCGATCGTCCATCAACTCCCCACAGCACTTCTGTGCTGCCTTCTCTGCACCTTTCTCGTCCCTGTTTCTGTCATGCGACACGGTTGACGACGTCGCACTTGATTGCATACCCCCGAGTGAGGTTTGCCCAGTCACTTGTCGGTGTTCTTGTACGCTGGGACGTGTCACAGCTGTTGCTAATTCCTCCTTAATTGTTTTTAACGCAGCAATATTTTGCTTCTGCAGTATGGCTGGGTCACTCTTCAGTAGCCAATTGGCATCATCTATTCTCTCCTCTTCCGTGGACTGTGGTTTGTCATAGGTTGTCTTAGCCGCCGTGGTCTCAACCACAACCATGCTCGAGACTGCTGATTGTTTATTGAGCGTTGATTTTTCCTCGTCCGTTCGTATAATGTCATGTGTCCGTGTCAGTGTCTTTGTAAGTGATTGTATTTGCTTGCCTTTGTGTGTATGTACCTGTAGTACCGTCTGTACGCACGGTTTTCTGTTGCCGGGTGTGTGGAGCTCACCTCTGATTGATGCAGCAGGTGCATCCACTTCCAACGCAGGCCATTCTACTATTGTTGCTAGGTGTGCACGAGGATGTTGCGTATTCGGTGGTTTGCTGCGTCCATCTTCATAGCCTGTTTTATCCCGTTCATCGGCAGACACATCTTTTTCCTGCGCGTACAAAAAGATATCGTCCCAATATGAAACATAGCTCTGTTCTACAACTCATTTCACCCAAAATGTTTCTTACCGCTGGAGTGTAGATATCAGCAAGTCATTAGTATTGAAAATTGTAAAGAGCTCGTACGTAACATGCACCCGAACGTCATGTTAGAGTTTTGTCTTATGCACTGGTAGCCCCATATATTGTACAAGTACGTTTGATCACACATACACGCTTGTTCGACTACGCTATAGATATCACAACGCCACATATGACCAAACCAATAATATATCACATACAGCAGCCTGCGATATACCACATACCATTACCTCAGTATTCGGACGTGCTGTGGCTGTGATTGTACGCACTTCTTCCCCTTTCTCAGCGGAGCGCGCATTCTGTGTATATATAAGTGTAATTCAGTCTCCATTATACGCTCACAGGCCACTTATATATGTGAAAAGAAGGAATGCAGCTGTTTCAGGTTCATCGACTTATCATTTTCTGGCAATGCAGATATGCTTTCCTATCACACCTCTGAGGGGCTGTTCGCCGTGAGGGGGCTGTCCCATGTCCGTCCGCTTGTTGAGAATATTTCTTCAGGTTTGATCTGCTTCCGTGCATACAAACCGTAGTCAGTTGTGAGCTGAATATGTCATTTTGTCATAGTTGAGTGTAGAGGAAAATCGGTAAAGCAATCGTCTGCAGATTATAAAATGGTCTAATGAATCCACTTACATCGAGTTGCGATGGCATATCAGTGCTGCGGCCTGGAGCGATACATATATAAA